GCATGGCAGTGGACTTCCGAGCAAGACCCGAGCACGTGTGCATTGAGCCCTCTTCCCGAGGCCCTTTTTCTTGCTTTCTTAAATTAATTAATTTGTTTAATTAATTTAGTTGGTCTGTAATAATTGATTAGCTAGGATAGTTAATTCATTATTCGAATTGTATTATTCTTTTGGTCCCTCCGGGCGAGGGCGAATTTGTAATAAGTGTGGGTGAGTGTGTGCATGCCTTCCAACCCCCACTTCTTTCTCCCTTTTACTTACCTGCTTTGATGGTTAGTAATAAGTCATGTTTAATTTAGCATACCTTATGCTATGCATGTGTGCATCATTCATCAGTATTGCATGCACCGGGCTCGGCCCATCATGCTAACTGCATTAGTATTTCAAATCTAACTTGAATACATGCTACTTGTGCATTTTCACATGTCATTCATAGAATAGCCAAGCCTACTCTAGTGACATTCCGTATGCGTTGCATTAGACATTTAAACATGGACTCGGATCATGCATTGATTGCTAACAAGTTCTTTGTTTTGGCACGGAGTACGATGTAAGTATTTACGCTTTAGCATCTCGCATGAGTGTGAATGTTAACATGACAGCATGCTTACCATGTGGCTAGATGCTTATGTGATATAACTGCTTGAATGCCTGTGGGTGAAGATTGGATTGTCTGAGTTGGCATGGCTCATTGAAATCCATGTTTTAGCCTACTTGCGAGTAGCAAATTCCAAAACATTTTTCCAAAACAATCGGATATGCAATGCTTATTCCCAAATTATGCAATCTAGTCTATACTTTTGTGCTGTGCGCGTAACATAGTAATTCTAGGCTAATAATCGGGTTAAGAACACATAACGTTTTCAAAAACGGATATCACGGTTAGTAGAGGCCGATCTTTGATCGGGCGAGAGGGGGTGCTCATAGCTGACCTTCCCCAATCGTACCCAAGTTCCCGAGCCGAGGCAACTTTGGTGATGACGGACACGTGGCCTTTGGCACCGAGTCAGGGTTTCCTAAATTCCCCCAAAATAAAATATTTAGGTGGCGACTCTGTATCTGGCAAAGCAGTCCATGTTTGGCACTTCTTTTTCTAAAAAAATATGTTTTCTCAAAACGATTTGCCAGATTTGGACTCTTTGGTTCAAATTAAGAACCGGGACACTAATCGAGTCCGAACTGTAGCGGGTCCCTCGCAGACGTGCTACACTAGGCTACAGCACTTATTATCATATAGCACATGATAGAATTTCTATGCTGCTTTTTTCACTTCAAAAGTGTTTTTTTTTTTTTTGGACTTCTTATGGACTTCAAAGAATTATTATATATTTTATGTAGGAAAATGCATAACATCATTTTTTTGGCGTCCCGAATCTGATGACGACTAAGAAGCATCAAGTTTCCACTTAAGGTCAAGATTTCTCATTTGAAACCCAATAGCAGTGTCTTTCAATCTTCCCATTGTAAGGAATAATACCATCTGCAATTTATTTTAACATGTTGTTGATGTAATAACCCCCATTCTTGTCTTAGCCACGTTCATGTGCATTTTCATGATTTTGTCTTATTAAGCTTGCATTTGTAGACTTTGCCTTGTTTTGCCTAAGTAAAAGTTCCTGTCTTGTTTGGTGCTTATGTGTTTTGCCTAAGTGTTATATGCATGCTTTGTTCCCTGCTTGCTGTCTCAAGCCTAGGTCATGTCAAGCCTAGGTCACACCTTTGAACGTCTTATACTTAGGACCATCTTGGAACCACCTTGGTTGACCTCCTCCGTCACCTAGGCATATTGGCGAGATGTCATCCTCTAGGCCAAGGTGTGCATCACCTAGGCCGAGATGTTATCATCTAGGCGTCCTAGATCTTTGATCCTTGCACCTAGTGATCTTGTTCCTGGACTGGTATGACCTAGACCGAGGGGTGGCACAGCTAGGCCAAGTGTTATCCTTCCTAGCCGAAATCATTAAAACCTTCTTGCCCGAAGCCTATGTCTTGATCCGAGGTCATTTCCTTGTCAGAGTGCCCTTGTCACCTTACTTGTTATACACCCTTTGTCATGCTCTTGTCTTGTCATTCAGTCACCTTTTGAGGAAACCCAACAAGACATTGCCATGTGTCCCAACAGAGGGTTAAGTCAGGTGCTAGTTGAGAAACCCATATCATTTTGCCATATCCTAGCCTTGTAGAGAGAGAAGCTCTAGGAGAAGAGGAAGAAGTTCTTAGAGTCAGAGAGCTAGATTCCAAACTTGATCTTCACACCTTGAACCGTTAGATCCGTGTTTTGAGGTTAAATTCTTGATCTACTTTTGTTGTTCTTTATATTGATCTGATCACATTGCATGATCTAGCATGATTCATGAGCCATGCATTGATTTAAAGTTTGGTTTTAGAAAGAGAAAATGATGTTCTTGTGTTCTTCAAGAGAAACCATGTTTTGATCTGAAAGTTTGTATCAAGATCCATGTTTTTGTGTTTGTTTTTATGAAATCCCCAAGTGTGGGTACCAAGGTCCATGTTTTTGAACTCATATCAGGAAATCTCAGATTTTGGAATAAAAGTTTTGATTTTAGCATTCATGTTCTTCATGTTCATGTTCTTCAAGGGAGGAAACTCAGATTTTCAGACTTCACCTTTCCCTAGGTGTGGTCACTGAGACCACTCTTGCCTAGATCTCACACGTAGGCCAAGCATCATATCCCACCCTGGCCTTCCTTGCATGATCACTTGCACCATTAGTCTATCTTGCATGCACACCTCGGCAGGCAGCTGCACACCGAAACCTAGGTAACACACCTTGGCCAAGAGGTGTGGGACCTCGGCCAAGACTTGGTTGGTACCCAGCATGTTTTCTCGAGATGAAAAAAATAGTGTTTTAACTCCCAGCACATGTTTTGCCATGTCTTGACTTGGTTTTGGAAAGAAATGTTGGGATCATTTTCATTCATGTAGAGCTTGTTTTAAGGATGCATTGCACATCCATCTTTGAGCATTACTTCTTGTCTTCTTGAAATGCATTCAGTGGACTTTACCATGTATTTGTAGGTCTTGGATTCTTTCCTTAAGCCCTACACCTGAAGAGCTATATGAGTGGTATTTTTAATAAAGCTATGTTATAATGTTATAATGTTTTGATAAAAGCTTTGCTTTGTTCTGTTTTGGAAAAGTATTTGTTCAAGTATGAATGATTATCCCTAGTTTTTGTATCAAGTATTATGTTTGTTTTGATGGCATTCTTGGAAAGTCCTTAGTGCTAGGGGACTATAATGCAACTAGTACCCTTGTTTGAGATATCTCCCTTGCCACCGACGATCTTGTACGGGTGGGTTTGTCTAATCGATTTTGGGTCGATTATTCCCTTGTTTTGCCACTGACGGTTTTCTGGGTGGGTTGTCTAACCGATTCCGGGTTGGCCACCGATAGTCGTGAACGGGTGTGCTTCGATTCTGGGACGGTTATTCCCTTGTTTTGTCCGGAATGTCATCCTTTGGTATTATGTAGATGTTATTAACATCCAAGAAGCTTTGAAAGACTTTGATTAATGAACTTGATTCATCCCATGCTTTGTACAAGTTATTATATGTATTGTTTTGATAAAGATCTCAGATATCATTCATCCAAACCTTTATTAATTATATCATTCACTGAGTATCCAAGCTCACCCTCTCCTTATATATATGTAGGTGATGAGCAAGAAGGCGGTGACGCCTAGATGTCATTTGTAAGTTGTTTTGGATTGATGTTTTGCTAGCATCTTGAAGATTATGCTTCTTAGTTTGTAATTCATGTCTTTTGTATATTTCGGCTTGAGAAGCCTTTTGATCAAGATGTAATATGTACTTCATTTTATTTGTATCCAAGTTGTAAATCATGTCATGATGTATGTCATTTCATTTGATCTATGCACAGCGCTTATGGGCTACTTAGATTTAAATTGCTTCCGCACATGTAGGCCCCATATATTCATACTCTGATTGTGTGAATTTTTGTAAGTTGGCCTTTGGTAATCTAGGATTACTGGCCATCACGACACCATTTTACTAGGGCCGGAATGGGGTCGTGACAGTTGACATTTGACATGTGTTTCTGCTCCCATTGTGATAAAATCATTTTCAAACTTCTTTACTTTACCCTTTCAACTATCAAAAACTTTCATAGTAAATCTTTGTTAAAAAACATGGCAATTATATGTAAACTTTGTAGGGGAAAGCAAGTGCTTATGTTAACATCTAAGGATCACCTTTGTGAAGGTATTCAACTAAATGAGTCATAGACGAGGGTATGGAAGATCCATTTGCAATGCTATAGATATCTAGAATTTTCAACTCCACCATGGCTGTATTGGACCAATTTTTAAAGAGTTCACTTCTTTAATGAAAATTGAGATCAGTAGACAAATGATAGACATCTTGTTTGGTGTGTGGGTTACATGTGCATTAGAGAGAGACATAGAGCTGAAAAGTTTGAGAAGTTTTGTTTGGGGTAGTGTTGTAAATGAAGGTTAATTGATGGCTGACACAGACAACATACCAGAAAGAAAGTTCGTCTTTGCCATATTTCAGCTTACAGAATGAAGTTGCAAATATTATATTTTGAGTGCTAATCGCATCCTCCTAAGTCCAAAATATTGACAGTATGTTCTGAAGTCATTTTTTTTTTTCGTGCTTAGAGAAGTGATGCTAGTTTATAATATGTAAGCCTTTTAAATGTTGCTAAAGCATAACCTTAAAGATGCATATTTTGGGTAATACAGATGATATTGGTACTTTTTTTGTTGCCTCTTGTACTTATTTCCGTATGACTTTTGTCGTAGTGATGAACGTTTTCCCTTTTGAACCTCAAGAATTTTAATGTATGTCTGGTTATGAGTTTTGATTGATTTGATTGAGGAAATGTACATAAGTCAGTGCTTGCTTCTCTAGTAGTTTTACTGGAACTCTAAAATTCAAGGCAAGTTAACCTCTATAGTATACATGTTTTTTTTAAATGTCTTTTATTCACTGCAGAATGGAAAGTTGTTGCAAAGCATAAAGTCCCATACTATTGTTGTTGTGTGCCTTAACTGTGAGGAAGATGGAACAAAGAATGAAGCACGCATTTCATTAACTTTTGTCCATATGGCTTTTGTAGAGCATGTAACCATTATGTATACATGAAGTAATACTGCATTTTTATTATCTACTTATAGTATAAACATTTTACAAAAAAAATAAAATAAAATTGAACTGATTTGTTCCTATAAATTATGTAGGATTTGGCCTTAATTGATGGAAGTTCATGGATCATTAAGATCAGAGAAAAGAACTTTAATGTAGAAATTTATTACATCAACTTTTAGATAATTACAGTCAATTGAGCCTTATAATTGTTTGTTGGAAAATTAAGATTGGTTAAACTGCTGCTTGTTGTGATGAGAATCATGAGATATCAACTATGCAAGGTAGCTTGGTTTCCTAAAACAAATTAAATTGGCATTCTCATTCCCTTTGTCTGTAGCTATTTGATCCTGAATGCATTTTGATTGCTCTGCTACTCACAGGTAATATAGTAGTCAATTTGAGAGAATAAACGAAAAGTGTTTTTACAATTGACAAAATACATAAAAAACTTAATTCGAGTTTACATATATGAGTTTTAGCATTCTCATGTCTCTATTCCCTTTCCATTATGTGTCATTCAAATTTTTTTGGGCAAGTGTGCCATTCCATTGCCTAATGCTTAGAAAATATAGCTTCTAGTTAAGTTTCATGAGTGGAGATACAGGATAATATCTCTCTTAATTTCCTGGAAGACTGAATGATCATGTTCCATAAGGTTTTATTGAATATTTTCTTTATTTTGGTGTCATTCATCCAATAGCATTTATGAAATTCTGAGGTACATGTTGAATTTTTTCAACTTTTTTGGGCGTGGCTAGAAGAAGAATGAGTAAATCTTTTGAAGCATGAATAGATCTTTTAGCAACTTCCATCACAGAGGGCTTAGAATTGCTGTGATATTGTTCACTTTAAGCCATGGATAGTTATTTTTCAAGGAGGGAGGATGGCTGTAGTGGTCACGAGGGTAACAGACTCACGTGGAGAAGAAGGATGCAGTAGTGGCCGGGAGGGGAGGAGCTGCAGCAGTGGTGGGCAGGAAAAGCGCAGAGTTGATATAGTGGCAGTGAGGGATGGGACTGCAATGGTGGTGGGGCTGGTAATTGTTTGGTGGTGTTGGTTAGGAAAATAATGGGCAAAAAGACTTTTTATCATATTTTTTACTGAATTATAAATAAGTTCCTAAGATAAAGACTAGAGAAGAAATTTAAACTTCTCTAAATTTAAATACTAGTGAAACTTCACTAGATTAACGTTTGCAGACTAGGACCAAATGAGCTAAGAAACTTCATTCTATTTCTACTTCATTATCTTGATGTCAGATTTCGGTCTCGACAAACTAGTTCCTTAAGAAAGTTAGAATTTGAGGTGTTGATGCCCCAAAATCACCAAACAGCATCGGATTAGCACGAAACTTGGCACACACGACCGCCTATGAACAAGAGACTTGTGGGAGAAGAAGGGACTGGAATTGGGTGCCCGGTTTGGAAGTTAGAGCCAAATTTCGGTCTCGGCAAACTAGTTCCTTAAAAAACTTGAATTCGAGGTGCTTTTTTTTTTTTTATCGGCAAAGAAAAAATTCCATTAAAAACATGAAATTTAAAGGTACAAGGAAAAAAAATGCATTGAGAGAGATTCGAGGAGTAAAAACTCACTCTCCTACTACTTCTACTTGCGTCCTTACAACCAACCGCATAGCCTCACAATTTTATATTTTAAAAGACAATAAAAACAACAAACCAAACTCTTGAACCCCACACCAAAAACACTATTACAGGGATAAACCCCACGCTTGTCTTGGAAACAAATAAACCCCACGTTTGTCTTGAAAACCCCACACTTGTCCCGAACACCTTGAACTAACGCCGGACACTCAGGCTCCATAATTGCCGGACACTCATGCTTCATTGTCGCCGAGAACCACCCTAGTCTGCAATACCTTCAATGTTGAGCAACATCGGCAGCCTCTTTTTGCTTTACCTCTTGAACCACTTCTTTTGTTGGTTTCTAGAATTCGAGGTGTTGACGCCCCAAAATCACCAAACGGCGTCGTGTTAGCAAAAAACTTAGCACACACGACCACTTAGGCAAGAGAGATTTGTGGGAGAAGACGAGACTTGAATCGGATTTCCGGTTTGGGAATTAGAGTCGGATTTCGGTCACGACAAACTAATTCCTTAAGAAACTTAGAATTCGAGGTGTTAACACCCAGAAATCACCAAATGGCGTCGGATTAACATGAAACTTGGCACACATGACCGCCTAGGCACGAGAGGTTGTGGGAGAAGATAGGACACGAATTAGATTTCGGTTTGGAAGTTATAACCGGATTTCGGTCTCGAGAAACTAGTTCTTTAAGAAATTTAGAATTCGAGGTGTTGACGGCCCAAAGTCACCAAACGATGTCGGATTAGCATGAAACTTGGCACATACAACCACCTAGGCATGACAAACTTATGGGAGAAGACGAGACTCGAATCAGATTTCCGGTTTGGGAGTTAGAGTCGGATTTCGGTCTCGACAAACTAGTTCCTTAAGAAACTTAGGATTCGAGGTGTTGATACCCCAAAATCACCAAATGGCGTTAGATTAGTACGAAACGTAGCACACACAACCTCTTAGGCATGAGAGACTTGTGGGAGAAGACGAGACTCGAATCAGGTTCCCAGTTTGGAAGTTAGAGCCAAATTTTGGTTTCAGCAAATAGTTCTTTAAGAAACTTGAAATACGAGGTGTTGATGCCCCAAAATAACCAAACGGCGTCAGATTATGTAGACACCTCATTTTTTACCGTCCTCAAGACTTGGACGTCATCGCTTGTAGACTCAATGATTGTGTTTGTTTATGTTCGTTTTGAGTGCCCAAAGTCTTCGGCGAAACGCCATGTCTTTGAGCCTCTAAACCTTGTCCTTTCTGTGCCTTGTTTTGGACCAAAACTTGGTGCTTGGAACTTGTGTTGACCTATCGGCCACCACTAGAGGCTATCAGCCATGAGCCTTACCTGTCGGCCATTGGTGTGGCCTATCGGCTACCATTGGTGGCTGACAACCACTAGTCTCTTTTCTAGATATTTGTTGGCAACTGTGCGAGCTATTATCACATTGGGTTGCATCTTCCTACACATGTATGGTAGGATGTTCCTAAGCTCATGGCTTGTTTTTCTATATATAGGGGGGGTTCCTCCCCCATTTTTGAGGGTTAGAAAATTTAGACCAAAAATCTCTCTCTCTCTCTCTCTCTCTCTCTCTTACAATTTTGTGCCTTGTAGCTTGTTTTCTCTACACTTTTGCATACACTACCTTAACCAAAGTTGTTTCTCTTTGGGCTGAGGTTATTTGAGACCTTCTTTGAGCTTTTGAAGGTGGTTTAGCTTGGTCTTGTGCCCAGAATTGTATTTTGCTTCAAAGGTATAACACTTGTCTTGTTTTGCATACTTGTTTTCCATTCTTTTCAACTGTTTTGAGACTAGTTTTGAACTGTAAAAAACTCTATTTTTGTGGCTTAAAAGTGTTGGTTTGAGGTCATTTTTAGTTAAAGGGTAGCTCACCCTTCTTGCTCCCATGTTATTAAAGTTTTTGTGCCTCTATTCATCACTTTCATATCAACTTTTTTTGGGCCTTTTAACCACTGAATTTTAGAGGTTTTTCAGTGGTAAAAAACTCATTTTGAAGTCCAAAATTGGAGGGGCTAGCCTCCCCTCCTTATATCTTGTTTGCATGCTAAATAGCTTCATATGTTAATATGTTTTTCTAGCTTAACTTAGCACAAGTCCAGCATGTTTTAGCCTCTGAAATAACCTGTTTTAGCTCTGTTTTGGGCTAGTTAGTTCATTTGAGCCTTGCATGGCATGGTTGCAGTGTTAATTCCTTCACTAGCTTACTGTTTTAAGGTTTTAACCATCATTAATGTGCGTTGATTACATGTTTTAGTGCTTTTTCCACTTCATTTTAGCACTCATAATCTTTGCAATCTCCCTCATTTCTTCACTCTTTTGTTTTGCTTTGAAAGTGGTTTCAAACAACTTGTTTACCTAAGTGTGAAATGGAGGTGCTACACCTAATGGTTTAATCCCTTAGGAGGTTCATTACCAATAGTGTAATGCCTCTTTCATGCCCAAAGCAACTTGTGGTTTGAGCCCTCTTTTCATTAGAGGACAATCACCAATGGACAATTGAATTAAGGAATGATTTGGTAATTAAAATGAGTAAACAAAATTGACAAGTAAAAGAGGTAAGATAACCATCTCTTTGTGTTGCATTGCATGTGTTCAAATCGGACGTTAATTTGAACACAAGGAAAATGGGACATTTCATACTGAAAAGTGATGAAATGTGCCACTTTCCTTGTTCTCCATTGCCCTTGATCATGCATGATAGGGTGATGGTCATTTTTTGTCTCATTTTGCATTTAATGAAATTGCACAATTGGTTTCATAAGCCATCATGCAATGAAATTGCTTGATTGATGGTTTGCAAGCCAAATTTTGTCCCTCCTTTGATTTGCTCACGAAAAGGAGAGATAAAGTGTGCAAATAACCCTTAAGAAATACAATGTTTTGCTTTGTTTTGCTCTCTGTTGTAGCAAAGGAAGTTTAGATCAGTAGTGGCCGACTAGCCACCAATGGTAGCCGACCAGCCCCTTGTCGGCCATCAATGAAATTTGCACAGTGTGTTGGTAAGGTGGAGCAGAGGTGTTCTGGAAGTGGGCAGAATTTTTGGTGTTCAAATGTGCAAACAGAGGCATTCAGCAGCAAGGCAGTGGCTTTTCGGGTGGAAACTGAGTGCGTGCATGAGCCTCTCTTGCATTTTGAGCTTATTTAACGCTTAAATATCTAGCTTAAATTCGTGTTGTAATTAATTAGTTGTAGCTGATTAAGGGTTGTAATTAATTAGTTAGTTTAACTAGTTATTCGATTTCAGTTGGTAATAATTAGTTAGGTAGTATAGCTAGTTAATTAGCTTCAAGTTTTACAATAATTAGCTTAATTAGTGTAGCTAGTTAGCTTTTATTTATTCGGACCCTCCTTCGTGAGGGCGTAATGTTGTAATAAGTGTGCGTGCTTGTGTGTATGTCTTCCAATCTATAGACACCCCATTTTTGACTGTCCTCAAGACTTGGATGTCATTGTTTGAACACTCGATGATCATCCATGTTCGTGTTCGTTTTGAGTTCCCGAAGGTCTCGACCGCGCGCCTTGCCTTAGGATCTCTCAACTTGTCTGTTTTGTGCATGGTTGTGGACCAAGGACCTGTGGCTTTGTTTCTGAGGGAATAGGGTGGCTTGTTGGCCATCCCTACAACCCATTGTGCTTATCGGCCTTGTTTCCTTGCCATCGGCCATAAGTGGTGGCCGATCGACACTCTTTTTGGCCGATCAGCCATATTTTCTAGCCATGACCTTTCTATCTGCTTTTTTAGATATTTTTGTGCCAGCTATGACAGCTGGTGAGAACAGTTTTCATCCTCCATACACGTGTATGGAGGGATTGATTCAAGTTCTTAGCTTGCTCAACAAGCTTAAGAATTGAATTTCTATAAGAAGGGAGACCCCTCTCCCTTTCCAGAGGTTCTGAAAAATTGAGATAGAAGTTATATCTCTCTCTATATATATATATATATTTCCTCTCTCTCTCTCTCTCTCTCTCTATATATATATATATATATTTACCCTTGTCTGTGCTCAAAAGTGTAATTTCTTCACACTTTTGCACTAAGGCACCTACTAGAACACCATACTCTTGTTGCTGAGGTACTTGAGGGTTTCGTTTGAACTCTAGGTTTGGTTTTTAGCTCAAAAAGTTGCTGGAGTTACCTCCTTGAAGTGGTTCTACAAGGGTGTGTCTGTAACCCTCTTTTAAGCTTTGTCTTCATTGCTTACTTAGCCTCATTTGCATGCTTATTTTGGCTTAACTCTTAACTGTGAAAAGATTCATTTTCATGTGTTTGAAATAATTGTTTAAGGTCTTGTTGGTGTTGGGGGTGATCTACCCCCTTTAGTGCCTTGTTTGGCCTTGTTTTGGACCACCCCTTTTGGCTTTTGTTTTTGTCTTTGCATGCCCTTTCTACCACAGAATTCCAGAGGAATTCCATTGGTGGAAAGTGTATTTTGATGTCTTAAAT